CCATCACTAAATCACACATTACTTTCTCAAAAAGCGTAGATGTTTAAATAATTTGCCTGATTTTTTTAACTTTGGATTGCTAATTGGAGTTGGCATCGTTAATATATTCTCAGTACACTTTTATAACTTCCACGCAAATTGACCTGGCAAATCGATCTCCTTCCATCGTAGTTAGGACTGTCCGGCAAGGCCTTACTGAGACATTTTTGCGCAAATTTGCATAGAAGTCGGACAAGTTTTTGTATTCATTTCTCCATTTCTTGAACATTTTAATGCAGGAACAAGCAAATCAACCATGCACGAAATCTGTGGGATCGAGCAGTAACAACTTTGCCTCGAGCTACGCAATTCTGGCTAAAATATTCGTACATGGAAGAACTGATCGGAAACGTTCCTGGAGCAAGACAGGTGTGTTTCGCATTTCGTCAGCTGCTTTCTTGGTGCTTAGCCATTGTTTTATCGTTGCATTTCTTTTCACCACTGATGCAATTAGTAATTGGCGGTTGCTGTTTTTTTAACATTGATTGAGTACCATTCGTCTTAGATTGTGCAGTCATGCAATGTTGTGAAGTGAGGCAAATTCTAGGTTTTCGAACGTTGGATGGAATGGGAACCTCCGGAGCAAGCTTGGCAAACTTATATCAATTTTGAATTGCGTTACAAGGAACTTGATCGCGCACGTTCCATCTGGCAGCGATTTCTCCATGTGCACGGATATGACGTGAGGCATTGGCTGCGTTATGCAAAATTTGAAGAACGGTTTGGATATATCGGCAATGCCCGTGCTGTAAGTGCTGTTCACGTTGTTTTTAGCAAAAATCCCCAATAGGAATGTCAGGTAATCGGGTTACGTATACGTCGATGTAAATTATTTGTTGAAGCTGTCGAAACTAATACATGTGAAAAAATCCGAAATGTTAATGTGCTAGGCACAGAAGTGAAGTATTAAGGAATGCTTATTCTGTAGTACTGATAGATGTGAACGAGGAGCAACACAGTATACGGCTATAATGCTTACTTTTCCTGAATGTTACTGCTTTTATTTGATGTGGGAAAGTTTTATGGGCTTTTTTTATGTGTTATTTCCAATCAGAAAAAAGGTTTATGGCAGCCAGCAAAATGCAGAAGTAATAGATGGGTTACATTCAAAAAATTCTCCTCACTTTTTTCTTGCAAATTTTTTTGTGTTAGTGCAATTAAGACTGCATTAGCACTTCATAAGACTGCACTTCACATGACTGCGATAGCAGGAGTGATGAAGTTTTGATAATAATGAAATTTATTGCAATGAAATGATAATGAAATTTATCCAAATGATAATGAATTTTAACCATTCGATGACTGATTCGTAAGGCGACATGTCTGAAAGCTGGAGCCGTCGTCAGCTTACTACTGAACTGGTCCTCCTTTCCAGTTAATAACCCCGTCTCATCCCACCTTTTGTGATTCTGAAACATAAACCTCTACTCTCTGCCCTCCTCCTCCTCCTACTCGTTTCTACCCACTACCTCATCACCCGAGGCAAACGTACCACAAACATTTACAACTCGGCTGAGCCAAGTTTTAATAATTGCCGAACAAATGACGGTCGACATTTTCTCCAGGCTTGCTACCAGCGAAATACTGTTACTTGGACTACTTTTTTTGAAGTTTTTCTCTCTTACAGAAAAGAAATTCGCTGAGCGGCGTTTGTGCTTGATCATCCATTGTGTTTGCTTTAGGTATATGAACGGGCAGTGGACTATTTTGGCGACGAGCATTTAAGTGAAACGCTGTTGATCGCATTTGCGCAGTTCGAAGAACGACAGAAAGAGCATGAAAGGGCGCGGTTAATATACAAGTGAGTTGACTGTGTATATGTGAGTTGGATGGGAACTGCTGAAAGTTCCCGACTGGCCACCGAGGTTTCAGGAGGACAAAAATTCAGCGAACACATTGCTTTTATTAAAGCCTAATTTGTAGTGAACTGAACATATCCAAAACAAACAGGAGGCTGCGGCTGAGCGGTATTTGGAAAAATGGTGAATCGTGAGGAGAAGGAAAGGAGAGGGAGTGTAAAAGAAGGCGGTAAATCAAGTTGGTGAGCACCAAATCGAAACGAGGAGTGATGAATTCCAGTGAAAAAGTTTGACTGCCAGCGTCTTTAGCTAAGGGGAAAACGAAATGAGCTGATGTTGTAGGACTCAACTGAATGTATCATACTGTGATGAATTTCGGACGAATTCTTGCATTTGAATGTTGACGGGAAGTAAAGGAAGTTCCAATTTCATTGACATTATTCGTAGCTTTAATAAAAAACGGTGAAAAAATAGAAAAGGAGAGAGGAATTTGGTCAAACATAGAATACGCCGTTATTTTCTGAGAACTAGGCTGCACTGGACTCGTTTAATCGTAGTTTTTAAAAGCACTTCGGTACAGTCTAATAAAAAATCAAAACCTTCTGCATCGTCCAGTTCGTGAAACTCTACGCATTCAGGAACGGCTCAAATATTAGGGCTGTGCGAGTTGCAAAATTTGTGATCAGAGGAGTTGTTGGTTCTCTTTTTTGAGTATTTTCTGGAAAGCAACCCGTAACATTAAAGTCGTTTACGCCAGTACCATCAAATTTCTCACATCCACAATTTTCAGCTCCTTCAAATTGTGACTTTAATGTTACTACTGACCTACCGGCGTCGTTGCTTCACTTCTTCAAACAGTGGAAACTCATGAATCTATGTGTGTGTGGCATCCATGTACACACTTCCTCTAGTGTCAAGATGCTAGAAATTCTCGACATTTTGCAAGTTTTACGTGGGTATTCGCACTACTTCCCATTACATCCGGCTTCCTGACTTAGCAGACAGTATGTACAAGAAGCGGTACCTCTCCACGCGAAATTTAGTACAGTGTTCGGTGAAGACTATTTGATTTCCTCCTTGCATAATTTGATAACTACATGCTCTTGGGATCATCTAGAAAGAATTTAAATGCCGTCTCCAATCGATTATTGAGGATTCTCTGGGTGTATTTCAGAATTTTCTTTACAGGTACGGATTAGACCATCTGCCAGCCGGGCGAACACCTGAAATTTATAAATTTTATACAATTCACGAGAAAAAATATGGCGAAAGAACCGGCATAGAGAATGTGATCGTTAGCAAACGTCGTCATCAGTACGAAAAGGTTTGTGTTCAGAACAGCTCATTCATAAATGATAATTAGGCGATGGAAAAAAGAAAAGATGTGCAGGTCAGTTTTGATGCTTCACTAGCTAATTTAGGCCTTTCTTAACGCCCATCATCAAATTTATCAAGTCCTGATCCACAAATTCTTTTAAATGATTTTGCGTACCTACAATTATGTTTCTTGGCCCACAAACTTCTAAGGTAATTTTCATGCTGCTTTGGCAAAACTTTTCTTTTTTATGACTAGATTTTACGTTGCGGCCGACAGGCCGAGTTTATGTCCATGTGGTTAGATTTTGCCGCTTTAGAAAAAGCTTTTTGCACTTATTTTCAAACAGAAAATATTTTTGTTTCTTTTCGCAATGATGATTAAAAATCTGATCTTACTTTCCTGGTATCCTAAAGTGAGTTTAAGAAGCTAGAGCACTGCATAGGATTTTTAAAGTTCCGTTGTTTTCTTATGTGTAAGATTCTTGTAGAAATAAATCTCTTTTATTTAGCAAATTGCGGAAAATGCGTTCAATTACGATGCGTGGTTTGATTATATTCGTCTCCTGCAAA